CACCCCCACACACACACACACACACACACACACACACACACACACACACACACACCCCTCAGAGTGATGGAGCTAGGCATCATCTTAAGATGGCAGCTTGTTTACAACTCAGCTACTATGGTGACCTGAAACAAAGGACCTGGAAACACCTTCCCACCAAAGGGACACAAGTACAAGCATTTGTGGAGAGGAGACATAGTCATGTACCCACTAAAAATGCAAAAATTGGGGAACCATGGTTTGAAGGGTGTTTTAGTCCGGGGCTTTTTACCCACTGTGAGGAAGCAAACCTGTCACCTGAGGCTTAACTGCAGATCCCAAGGAACAGGAATATCAGGAATGAAGACAATGTCAAGGAAATGCTACATGGAGATGGAAGTAAAGAAAAAAAATGAATGATCATGGCCCCACAACTCAACAATGTGTGGGGGTATTCAACAGAGCAAGCATAGCATCCATGGAATGGGGGAAGGAGCGAGATAGAACCCTGAAGGAATAGACAGTTATGCAATGAAATTATAGCAAGCCATCCGTCAATACAGGACTAAATATTGACATGCAAATATAAGAGACCAAGAGACATTTAGAATATAAAATAAGTTGGGCGTTGGTGGTGCAAGCCTTTAATCCCAGCACTCAGGAAACAAAGACAGGCAGATCTCTGTGAGTTCTAGGCCAGCCTGGTCTACAGACCAAGTGCCAGGATAGGCTCCAAAGCTACACAGAGAAACCCTGTCTGAAAAAAAAGAATCTCAAATAAATATGCCTAGGAAATAACTTTTCCAAGTCACATTCTAGTTAAAATGCCACAGCTTAGAACAAAGAAACAATATTAAAAGATACTAGAGCAAAATCACTAACTCACAGAAGCAAGCTCATCAAGGTAATATCATATTTTTAAGAGACATTTAGAATCTCAAATAAATATGCCTAGGATAGAACTTTTCCAAGTTACATTCTAGTCAAAATGCCACAGCTTAGAACAAAGAAACAATTTGAGAGCAAAATCACTAATTCACAAAAGCAAACTCATCAGAGTAACATCATATTTTTTATTAAACACTAAAATTCAGAAAAGCATGGGCTCATATGCAT